GGTCTTGAAGACGTACGAAAACAAGCCATGGGACATTGTCGACCTGGGACAGAGGGGGGCATTTCGTCGTGGCACACTGAACAACTCCCACCTGCCGACCTTGACGACCAACTCCGCGAAGCTGTACAGCAAGGTCTGCAGACATGATTAAAATTTCTTTTTTAATAATATAATCAAAATACATAATTTAATAATAATAATTAATAATAATAATAATACGTGCCGTTCTGTTCTGAATGGAGTCATGGCTTTTGTGCCGTCATGCTATTTCCGATGCAGGCCAAGAGGCGGTTCGTGACTGAGGACGAAATGTTTCAATCCCATGTCTTGGCCACAAAGGTGGACCAGGCCAGGTGCGGCAGCCCGGTCTTGGCCAGGTCTCACCTGTCTAGGTCTTCTGCCGTAATGCTTGCGGGGAATGCGATGAACGTCCCGTGTGTTGGGGCTACTCTACTGGCAGCGATTATGGCCTTGGAGAGGGTCTAGACTCGCGACTTCGAGGCGTGCAGCACAAACGCAGAAAGGAAAAGTCCATTTATCTTTGACGTTTTGTCCTTGTCAGCAAGCTTGCATGCTGTAAATTGGTGTGCCAAGTGCTTGCTGGTCCTAGGCCCGACCGATTGGGATGGGCATCCGGTCGCGGGCTTGGACGGGCATAGATTCTCATGTGCCGCGTCGAAGCTGTTTGTGGCACCAGGGCTTCAATGTTCCCTATGTCTGCCTTGGTCTTTCCTTGCTCACTCGAGGCCGCGACGGGGTGCAGTTGTCAAGGTTGAAGGGGGTTTCGTTGTAGCTCTTGCTTCAACGTCTGACTGTCTGCCAGGCACAAGTGCGACCTCGACCTGTTGCTGCAGATATGGTGAAAAGTGAGCGTTGCTTTGCTGCTGTGTTGCCGCTGTGACTGCCCCCGACAGAAAATGCAGGTAAAAAGTGAGCGTTGCTGCTGTGTTGCCGCTGTGACTGCCCCCCACAGAAATCACTATTACAAAAAAGATTTTTCAGCCCAGTCCAAAGGGCCACCCAGAAAATTATTAGAGCTATAAACACTATAATGAGGAAGGATCCGTTATAACTTGGGAGGTAGGCATTTGCATTTCTGCGACAGCTCCCGTACGAATGGGCCCGGGAGGCAAGATAAGGAAGTTGCGCAGCTCGCACAGGGGTTTGCCGCTTGCCTTGTCTTCACGGTTCCTCACGAAGTGTCTGGATCAGCAGTAAGCACTTGCTGACCTGCCCATATGGTGAACTCTCAACATAGATCCTATGTCAACGGCGCAGATGATTGTGCTATGTCATGCCAACGACAAGCCCACTGCGCGCTAGGTTTCAACCCGGCATGGAAAGGGCTAGTCCTGTGAGAGTCTTCCAAAGTCAACTTGAGGGGGTGGTCTGCAGATCCCAGCGACTTGACGTTGTGCGTGGTTTTCGAAGTCGGATTCGTAGAACGAGTGCCAAAGTGCGCTACAGCCAAGATAGTGAGACTTCAGCTGGGTTTCATTGTTTGATCACTGGCTGAATACAAGCTCCCAAACCACATGCACCTTGATTGAGGGACACACACAGGCATTCAATCGCTGTACCTTCTGCTGCAAAGCTGTGGGACAAGAGCTGGGGAGCGAGTACTTGAGCTGGAATGCTCTGTTTCGTCCTTGGGCCACGACTGGGTTGCGAGATTAAGGAAAGCTGTCAGGAGCAAGCAAAACTTGGGCGTGAGTGCTTGAGCGGTTTCCTAGTCGCCCGCTAGGAAGCCGATCCGCTTCAGGACACCGCTGGGAGACCTCGATCTGCTTCCTTTCGAGGATGGTGCAGACGCTTGCGTTTCCATTTAGCGAGCTTAAACTTAGATTCTTCAAGCCTCAAAGCATGATATTGCCGAGACGTCTGCGAACAAACCAAACTCCCATGCCTTCGAATCCAATCACCCGGAGCAGGAACCAAAACGGACTGACTTTTTGGAAGCTTAAGGATCCGACTGGAGCCAGACGAATTCAGCATGAGCCCGTCGATCGCTGCGCTGGGAGTCGCTCGGGGCAAAGAAGGCAGTGAGGCCCTCGTTGATGTCTAGGCCTAGGCCGAAGCAGGAGGCTGAGGAGGAGTAGCCAACAGACAGAGGTCGATTCGGTGACGCAGGCCGGTCCAAAGGCCTCATCCCAGACCGCTTCGACTCACGATCGTGCCTGACAGCGGGTCACAGACTCCTAAGGACAGCGAAGGCTGGCCTGTGGCCCTCACACTGTTGGGCGGCATGACGACGCGTGGCTTTGTGCCTCGGAATCCTTGGGATCGAAAATAAGATTCTGGCTCCGTCTGGCTTCAGGAAACATGATTTTTCCTGCATCCTACCAACTGCTGCGCTTCGCTTCCGCGGGAGGAGGCCTCGGCCTTTCCACGCAATGCGGCACTGGCCCGACTGGAGGCCAGTCCTGATGGGACTAAATCCTAAACCCACATGAGTTAGTTCGTGTAAGGTTTCGGGCTTTGGTGTTTTTGGGTGTAGGGCTTTGGGGAGGAAAGGGGCGGGGTATGTGAGCTCTTACCTCGAGGGTAAAAGGTTTCTCATGATGTTCGTTTTGGGGTGCAGGCGAAGGGCGCTTGAGGGCGCGGAGTTTTGCTTTGGGCACAGGGCTTTCATGGTCTTGGGGCCTCATCCCTCAACGACCTCAACCCCCTACACAGCTGCATAGATGTATCCTTACCAAGAGTAACAGCCCTTGAAGCCTGTAAAGCAACGGTGACACCAACAATTTTCTGCAAAGCCGTCGTGGAACCCGACTACACGAATGTCAGCTTCGACCTGTTGTTTGAAGCCCTCTGGTTTGCCGATTCGGTCGAATCCGTTCTGTTCCGGTTGGGTCTGGAAGCCTGGGAACTCTCTGGGGAGATCAGGGGGTTTAGGACTCCACGAATGAATTGATAGTGCCGTCGTGTCCTTGCAACTTCATGTAGCTTTCATGCAGCAATTTCATGTAGCAATACAATGTACGAGTGGTGCTTCCAAGCTTGGATTCCTGTGTTGGGCTTACAATAGTACAAAAGCTTTTGTTCGCACAATCCTGAACACTATGAACCCTCCAAACCCCTGAACCCTTGTACTCCGGGTTTTGCACATGTTGCACAGTATGTGGCCTAGAAAAACAGTCCTTGGTAATGTGTTACGAGTGTGATCGGAGCTCGCACCCTGGTCAAGATTATTGGCCAACCCCGGGTCACTGGTGTGCTGAGGTTGTTGGATGTTGTTGGCTTTGTAAGTGCGTCTTAAGATCTCACGCTCAAAAGGTTGTTGGTATCTCGGAGTTGCTTTTTGCTGATCTCAACACATGTGCAACATAGCCTTGACATTCAGTGCTTTCACTGCTCAGAATGAAGCATAGGATTTGCGGTCGGAGAGTGTGCAGCAGTTGGAGTCGGGCAATGAACTCTTTGATGTGAGACCCTGCAGAACTCGCCTCGCCCCAAACTCCTGATTGAGGGTAAACTATGTACAGCCGGCCGAGGATAGCAGTCAGTGGCAGACGGCCACCGCCATGCTCGAGGCTGGCTGGCGCAGGAGGCATCGATCGGTTTAGGGTTTAGAGTTTATGCTCTTCGACATGTGTTGGTTTATGATCGGAGTAGCATACTCGCATGTTGAGTTCACGAAGTTGACGATCCGAATGCTCGTGCACGCTGCGGTCGGTGCCGATTACCTGTCGGCCTGCCCCCCCCCCCCCCAGAGTAGAAGAAAAACACCAAGCAGAAACTCTTGTTGCAGCTCATCAGTTCGCTCTGCATCCTTTGCTTGCCTTTGCTCTTGGACTTTGGGCTTTGGGTCTGATGTGGGTTCAGGGCTTCGCGGGGCGTGGCTGTTGGACTGAGAGCCTGTAACGGGAGTTTCGGTCTTTTGTCGCAGCGGGCATGCAGGGATTGAAAGCTCAGGTCGACGCATAGCCTGCCTCTGTGAGTTGAATCAACGGAATGCCCAAGTTTCATTTCGTCACGCTTGGTCGTGAACCATATACGTACGCAGTCGTATCTACCCACACACACACATATGTATGTATGCATATATATATATACACGTACACACACATATATATATATAGATATATATATATATATATAGATTCATTGATTTATATTTGCCTTAAATATGTGTGTATATATATATATGTTTCTTATATGTATATTTCGATTTATGATTACGCACATACACATGCATAATGCGTGATGAAAACCAAATCTGGGATTTTATCGTTGTTGCTGAGCCAGATGAAACCAGCAGTATCACTGGTGGCCAGGAGCTCGCCGGATGTGCTGGCCTGCAATTCTGCCATCAGCTCCCTGGCTTTGTGCGAGGTCAGGGTCAGCAAAGCATGATAGGACTGAGTCTGGTTATCGGCATCAACATGATGATGCTCCTGCTCCTGCTGCTCCTGCTGCGGCTGCTGCTGCGGCTGCTACTCAGCCTACTCCTACTGCTCTTGCTGCTGCTATTGCTTGCCGCTACTCGTACTACTCTAGGTGCACACTCCCTGTGACCCTATAAAGCCTGATCCAAAGCCATCGTCCAGCGCACGACGAGGCAGTTGCAGTCGAGCTGGGGAGGCCCAGCAGGCCAGGAGACTTCTGGACAGGACGCTTCTGGAACCAGACGGTCATTTCAAGTCCATCGTGTTCAGAGCTTTTTTTGGCCAAGTGAGGATATGTGAGTGATTCAGGCAATCATGAGGATACAGGAGGTGATGGAGCTGCGAGGTTCGAGCCGTTCATGGCCAGTGTCCGGGCTGTTCGGATCGTGCGTGTTGTCTTTGGTGTTGGCCAGGCGTGATTTCTGCAGCGTCCTGACCAAGCCGTTGAGCACAAGCACATGAGTTTGCTGTAACAAAAGAAGCTGGCCACCTGACCCGACTGTGTCCTTGACCCATGCAAGACCAAAGCGCATCTACATTCTCAGCTCTACAGAAGCCTTCGAAGTATTGTCTGAGCGGCCATGTTGCTGTGCGGCAGGGAACCGAAGCACACGATGCTCTAGAAGCAAACCCATCCGCCCTCCTCGCAGTTCGGGGTCGATGGATGACCAGACAAGTACTCACGTGGAAGATTGACTTGCGGCTTGTTCCTGAGTTTCCGACGGGTAATTAACCTCAAGAACCTAAGTCGGGTTTGGATCCACGCTGTGCGGGTGTCCGCAGTTAGCCATGGTCAATGTCATCGGAAGCTATAGGAAATTTTCAGCAAAAGGTACGACCGCGCTTGTGCCGAGAGCCCAACTCGTTTTTTTTTGAAGTTCGAACTCTTCCAGGATGCCAGAGATGCGCCTGGCTCCGGACACCGTCAGCAGCCCAGAAGAAGCAGTTTCCTTGATCCGACCCACAACAGCTCCGAGGAAGCCGGGTAGGCACAAAGAAAGGTTCGAGTTTCCGGCCCAAGATCACAGAACGAATCGTTGTTGTAGTGTTTCGTCGACGCAGGTCAGCGTCAATGCTGCGCTGGCGAGTGCAGACTGGTCTGAGGCAGCAACAGCTGAATTAGCCGAATGTGTCCCGAAGCCCCCCAAAAATGCAGGAGCCCAACTAACTCGAACAACGGTATGCACCCTCAATCCACATTGTTGAGCTGAGTGACTGCACGGAACAAAGTTGAAGCTCCAGACCGGAAAAGTTTAAACCCAAGTAATATGCCATCCCAAACCCCAAGAATACCTCCAACCAAAACTGTCCCCTTTCGGGTGTTGGGGCTCCCGGGTCGACCCGACGAGGGCTTACCCAGGCACCAGCACGAAAGACGCGACTGCTTCGTTTTGTGGGGCTTTTGGAGAGCGATGCTTCGGGGGCCCGGATAAGGAGTTTGAATGGCTATTGCTGGAAAATGCGGGACTCACAACACAAGAACCCCAATAAGAGTAGCTGGTTTAGGCGAGCTCACTGTGAGGGAGCTTCATCGAAAGCTGCCATGGCCGAATCCGAAAGCCTCCGCCTGCAAGCCTAGGCCTTTCTAGCCCTAGTTAGCTTTAGTTTGCTGTGATGATTTGCGATACATGGGCGCGTTTCCTAGCTGCGATAGGGGCCGTTGGTCACTGAAAGCACCAAGACACTGTCTTAAGAGCTATCCCCTCATCTGCAGGAGGGCGGCAAGACTTCATGAATTTTCCATGACAGATTCAGGAGCCTGCAGTGGTTTCCCACTCGCGGAAGGCTCCAGTACGCAAACCCGCACTACAGCACTGACTTGTCCGTATGCATATGTTTGATGAGTATACATTAGCGCATAGACGCAGGCACATCTAGGCGCAGCGCTCGCAAACTCCTTCATACACGCGCACAAAGTCATACATTTCCATGAGCTTTTTCGATTCGGCTATGGCTATGCCAATGTCAATACCGAAGCTCCAGACTTCTAGTAGAGATCTAGGAGCATTCCTTATAAGCTTTCGGTGTCAAGGCTGCGGCAAACAGAAGAGCGAGGAAAACAGGCCCCGATACCATCGAGCTAGCTCTTGGACCAGAAATCTGGGACTCAGAATACGGAAATCTGAGGCACTCGAGCTGCTGTCCTTCATGTCCGACCATGATCTCCAAGTCCCTGGACCTAAGTTTGAGAGCGTAGAAGGGCTGCAAAGTCCAAGGTTCTAGGTACCAGGTTTAAACCCTTCAAGATTTGGTACGATTATGGGGTGGCAGACGGTGATTCCATCCCCTTCAGGGAGCTGATACAGTGGAGTAGGCAAGCCATGCCAAATGCCAGTGCCTAAACGTTGTTGAAGGCATCTGCAGCACCGGATCTCCAAAGTCGGGAACCTGCGAGGTCTCCTCAGCTGGGGCACGAAACATCCTGAGAGCAGCATACCATGTACGAAGCTCGCCAGAGCCCTCGTGGCAACCTTGGAAGAATCCGAGGTGGATGCCTTTACAATCAGCACCTCCATCCGCAGCTTCGTCGAAATGGCGGGAGGTTTTGGACACCTTGAGTTTTGGCAAAGAGCCATCAGCAAATTCCTCCTATAATCATAAAGTCGTCCACCCCCTACATGCGATGCCAAGTCAAGCATTCTTGGAAGATGACCAGGCATGTTGGGTTTGGTTTAGAGTCTAGTTGTTTTTGTTTTGAAGGGCTGGAGGGGTTCTTGGGCAGGTTTCTATTGGAGGAGGCTGAGGGTTCTGGATGAGAAAACTTGGAGATCAGAGCCACAGAGGCGCACCAAATTCAAACCCGAGACCTTAAAGTTTGAAAGAACCTTCTCGCTGCAACCTCGCTGAAACATGCGTGGTGATTTCGTGGTGAAAATCAGTGACATGACGATGGCTCCAGGACAACCAGAGAATGCATAGTCCACGAAAGCAGCGCGGAGAGAGAGAAAGAACCAGGCGCATAAACACGGGTGTAGACATGCGCATGCTTATGCACTTTTGCGCGTGCACCCACCTGTTCGACCATGCGCGCTTGAATTATCTATGTGTCTATACTATATCCTTCTCTTCAGCTACCTATAGACTCATCTGTTCACATCTAAACCTACATCCCTCACTCGCATGCTCGCTCTTTTTGTTCCTCTCTCTCTCTCTCTCTCTCTGTCTCTCTCTCGATCCAGAAGCACACGAAAGCCACAAGGTGCCTCAGCAGGAGAGCGAGGTCGGCAGCTCTTCCGGGAGCTGTCTCAGCGTGGAGTGGAGCTGAACCAGGCCCTGAAAACTTTCAGGTCCGGGCTTTGGGGTGTGGGAGTCAGGTTTGGTTTAGGGGGGTTGAGGGTGTGCGCGGTGCTTGTTTGCTTGGGAACTCCTCCTGTGTGGCACATGGCACCAAAATCAGTTCAGGGCGCACGATCGTGAGTGTTGAGGCTTCATGGTCTGAAGTTTGAAGGATTTAGTCTTCAGGGCCTGGATCTAGAAAAGCGTATAAGGATTCAGGAGTCTCTAGGGGCTCACCACCCCCGCGGAGGGTCAATCCCGCCTTTCGTTCATGAGAGTTCCACACATCCCGAAGGCCCGGCTTTAGACTTTAGCCTCGGACCGTCTGGAGCCGGGGAGCCGCTTATCGCACCATCACCTAGCTGTACTACTTTAGCTGTGTTGCGGCGCCCATTATTTGATGACTGCTGTCGTGCACGCTGTCAGGTTGCATACAATGCCGCAATCGGGGCATCTTGGCTGCAGTGTTGTGTAGGAATGCTTTTGCGCTGTTGGAGAGCCATGTCAGCGTTCGTGCTGTTGTGGTAGCATGTTTGTAGACGCTGATGTCTGCATGCGGCCCCCCAAACTCACACCTCTACATCTCTACATGTACAATGCTGCATTCTTGCACGCCGGAGTGCTTACATTCCACTGCAGCATGCATGCATTCGTTGTAAACATGATCACATGGACATGGCTGAGCAGAGTGTAAGCTGGTGCGGAGCGACATACGTGCCAAGTATGCACATGCAGGGTTGCTTAGACTGTGCTCTGCCTCCAAGACTCGAGCCTACACCTGAAACCCTTGACCTGAGACTACCCTGAACAGAGTGAGACGGTTCACTCAATGCCTGATCTTTCTGCTTTCGAGATTTCGGGCTGTTGGCAAGGGCGTGCCTGTCGAGTTGAACCAGCTGGCTTTACACCGAAACTCGAACCAACGAACCCAAGCCTTGAGCTGTTGACACCCTCTCTCCCGGCCATACCTCGAAAGCCAAAGGCCTGTGCATCCGGCGGGCGCTGGCAGGCTCGGGTTGCCAGGGCCATGCTGCATCTCTGCCCCAGTTTCCTAGAAGGGGAGTTGTTCGTCTCTGGACGTCTTCTGTTCCTGGGCTATACTAGGACCGCTGTTCTGCCTTGAAGCTTCCCTTCGAGGAAGCCGGTTCGCTCCTCCAGGAGATGGATGAGGCACTCAGCCAACACACCTTGGGTTTAGGGCTTTTGAGGTTTACTGAGGTGCCTAGTTGTTCGGAAGTTCGTTTGTACCAAATCTAAGCTTGCCAGCTTCGGGAATTGTTTTCGGGGAGCCGAGCGTTCCACGTGGAGGCCAAGGCGACCTGGAACTGGAACGATGAGTTTGGAGAAGTTGTGTAGGTCTTGGCATCTAGGCTTTGTCTATGCGTGTGTGAGAGAAAGGGAGGGAGGGAGGGAGGGAGAGAGAGAGAGAGAGAGTCGGGGTGTGTGAGAGTGTGGGTGTGGGTGGGTGAGGTTCAGGGCTCAGGGTTCGAAGGTTGAAGCAGGGAGTCTGCGATCCCGGGACCTACGCTCTCGTTTTGGAACTCGAGTCTGACGACCGGCACCATTGCGATTTAGGGTTTAGGGTTTAAAGGTTTGGGGTTTGGGATTGCAACCTAAACCCTTGACCTGAGTCAAAAGCTACAGGAGGCAACGGTGTGAGCCAGCGCTGCAAAAAAGCCCTCAATGCTTGAAGCCGCGAGAAAAGGAACCCCCAAACCCGAGAGCCCTTAACTCTAAAACCATGCAACAAGATTTTGAGGAGGTACAGCGTTCCGTTTTCAGGGTTCAGAATCGAGGCTTTTCTCCGGCCAACAAATGTGAAACTGGAGGTTGCCGTCGTCCCAGACATGAGGCTTTGATGCAACTAAACCCTAAACCTCTAAAGCCCTAAACCCCAAGACCCCAAACCGTAAAACCCTAAACCCCTAAACCCCTAAACCCTAAACCCTACGTAAAAGTGCAGTCTTGCCTTCATGCCCAGTGGCTCTGCAGAGCGGCATGAATCAAGTTTCCGGTCATATTGTGTGTGTTTTGCCAAGGGTTGCCTGTCTCACAAGATACCTTTATGTGCCAAGGGCCTTATGCCGAACCAGAGTCCTGAATCCTAGGGTTTAGGGTTTACCCATGGCATGGGGGCCTTGAGTTCAGGGAGACAAAAGCCCTGTAAAATCGCTAGTTATGCCCCCAGGCGTCCTATCCCAAGCCGAGGATCAGCTTCAACTCTGCTGTGGATGTCTGCGAAAAGGGTGGGCAGTGGCAGGCCCCTCGTTAAGGATAGGCGTTCGGATGGGATTGAAGCTGTGGGCTCTCCTTGTGATATTTCGGTCGCAGGTGCTTGCGGACGACGCCTGACGAATCTGAAACCGTACGTTTGGGGTGCCAAGGAGGTATCTTTTACTTTGACGGCTCTTGCAATAGTATTAACATAAGCCACCGCTGCTACTACTTTTGTGAATGTGATTTTTTGATCTTACAAGCAGTCGCTTGTTCTTGATCTGATTCTTCAGCCGCTCCACTGGCCAGAGTGCTTATTCTGACTTGTGCAACCCTTCACCCAGCGTGAGCATCTGTGCAAAAGCGTCATAACTCCTCAACTGTGCACCAGCACTTTTTCTCGAAAATGTTCGATCGCAATCTATGATATTCACGCAGATTGCATAATGATCACATTGCATGGTAGTTATTGTTTCATGTCGAATACCACTGTGTACTCCATGCTCTTTTTTTGGTCAACATGCACCAAGACATCCTGCTGAGCAGAACTGGCTATCAAAGATGTTTCCCCGTGGGCCCTAAAGAACCGTCAATGGTGCGCAAAATCTGAACTGGTCTCATGCTCATAAAACAAGCAGTCTCACAGGGTCATGCTAAGAGTGAGGTTTTTTGCATAGCAAAGCATGCAGCGTCACACACACCTGCTTCCAACCCCATTGGCATTGGCAATGCGCTAGCCCCTTGCTGTTTGATAACCCCCGCCGCCCTTTAATCTGAGGATTTAGCTACTGCCTGCCATAGAGATCTTAGAAGAGCCCCTAGGATCTACAAGCCCCATAAGATTCTCTAGACAGCCTTACACCCTCCTACAAAAGCCCCACGCCGAGATGGCTCTGCTCCTCTTGTGACTCGGCTTCCGAAAGTCAGGGAAGGAAGAAAGGTTGGAACACAGAGGCCTTTTAGGCGCACGTGGTTCCCTTGTAGTCGATGGGAGGAAAGTAAGCTGCTGAATCAAGCAGAACTTTCGAGTCCCTTGTGCCCTTGCGGCCCGAAATGCTCGGCACAAATCCTCAATGCAAGCGAGAACCACTGACGAAGGAGCAAGACTGAAACAAAGGTCCACGTACTTACGTGTTATCCTGTCCAGCATTTCTCAGTCCATTCGCGTCTCAGAAGATGATGACGATGCTGACGGTGACAATGTGACGATGGCGATGACGATGATGACAAAGATCACGACGATGATGCTGCTGCTGCTGCTGCTGGTGATGTTGATGGTGATTGTCATGGCGATGGCGATGGCGGGTGATGGTGGCGATGATGACGGTGACGATGATGATGACGATTATGACAAGGATGACGATGATGATGACGATGATGGTGGTGGTGATGATGATGATGGTGATGATGGTGATGATGGTGATGATGGTGATGATGGTGGCGATGGTGAGGGTGATGATGACGTTGATTTTTGTGATGCTGACGATCATGATGCTGACGATCATGATGGTGATATGATGATGACGATGGTGATGAAGGAGAAGATGAAGAAGCCGACGGCGATGCTGACTTGAGGTGCTATTACCTCTTGCCACCGCTGGTATCATGATTCTTAGTATGGAGACCAAGGGCGGTTGCTGAGCAGCGCATGCTGCGCCTGGATGCCGTGGGTGCCAATTCAGCGCTGAGCTCTTGCGAGAAGCCGCTGGGTTGATTGATGCTTTAGGACCGTTCGGCTTAGCTTCTTTTGGTTGTCAAGTAGCAATCGCCAACCAATGATTCTTACAAGCAGCTGCCTGCCCGGCGGTTGAATTTCCTTTGCAAAGGTCGAGTTGCGATGATAGCATGTTATCAGAGCTCTGCCTTGTTTAGAAGCACAGTTGGTTGTTTCCTTGCGTGTCGACTAATGCTATTGCCTTACGCCAACCGAGGTGTGGGCAGCTCGGCTCCTCACTGCGGCTGCTGGCCAGGCCGGTCTCTCCATCCCTCCAGGAATCCGGGACTCACGAAGCCCTAAGCCCGAGGCAAAGAAGCCCGGATGTGTGCCAGGATGGTGCGTCTGCGCTTGAGTAACGAGATAAGCCGCGCCCTTGGTTTCTCTTGAGGTTTCGGCGTGAGATGTAGGGTGGAAGGGTTGTCGGCCTAGCCTTCAGATCGGGAGTCAAGGTGTAGGGGTTTATGATTCAGGTGTCGGGTGCAGTGGCCATCGTTTTAGCTAGTTCCCTTATCAGCTTAGACATACCTGACCAGATACTCGCAGGGCCGCAAGTTGCAATCCCAGCTTGCCGATAGCTGAATCTATGATCTCGGCCCGAAGTTCCCAAAGCCCCTTAGATAAATTGACCTTCAGCCGGAAGTGGTAGCTTCCAGGAGCAGAATCTTCTTGCATGACCTTCGGAATCTTAAATTGTCTAACACAGAACTCCTCTGTTTCTGACAAAGAGAGCTTGAGGCTACACTTGCGCCATTGGCTCCTGTGAGAAGTCTGGTGACTGGCAGCTGGCCCTCCATCTTCTGGAGGATCGCTACAAGCCCCTGATGGTTTGGAGTTTCAGGGTTTGGGATGTACATGGAAGCAGTGTACCTTTACTCTTGCTGCCTTTGCGACATCAAGTACAGTAGACAATCTTGTGACTGCTAGGCACATGTGTCCAAACAAACCCGTAAAACCCGAACAGACGCTCCCCCCGCCTGTGGAGCAGCTGGATCATCCCATGGCCTTGCCTGCCATCCACCCGGCCGTCTTCCCCGGGCTCTTCATCAGCGATGCGGAGGCCGCTGCCCAGTACGCCGAGCTACGCTCGAAAGGCATCACGCACGTGGCCGTGGTGGCACGAAGCTGCAAGGCCCATTTCCCTGGAGCCTTCCGATACCTCACCGTGGATTTGCTGGATGATGGAACAGACAATCTACTTCCCCACCTGAACCGTTGCTTCGCCTTCCTAGACGAAGCCTTCCATGCTCATGGCCGGGTGCTGGTCCACTGCTTGGCCGGTCAAAGCCGCTCTGCTTCCATCGTCACCGCTTATTTGATGCGTACCTGGCACTTGCCTTTCAGCCTGGCGCTGCAGATCTTCAAGGCAACGTATCCCAATGCCTCGCCGGCAGAGAACTTCTGTGAGCAGCTCCAGGTCTTTGAGGCAGCTGGCTTCAGCCTTGATGAGGATGGGCAAGTGCCGGAGGCCCATCAGAAAGTCAGAGCAGCGGTGCCAGAGGAATTATGGCGCACTGCTCTGATAGATTTGTATACACGGGACGGGATGAGCAATGCCTGCGCGGTGGAGAATGCCACCGAGTGCCCATTTACGAAAGCACTTAGCCCGGAGCTCGCCTTGGCTCTGCATCGGGAGCTTATCCTCAGCTTGGGTGTCCGACGAAAGGATGTCGTAAGGCCATCGTCCGTATGCTGCTGCATGAAATGCCAGAAGCCTTTGTTTTCCAGCGCCCACGTGCTACATGAGTGTGCCAGCGGACACTTTGTAGAACCGATGCAGTGGATGAACACCTCTGCTTCGGAGGGCAAGCTGAGCTGCGACTGCGGTGCCAAGTTGGGGGGCTTCTCGTGGACTGGGCAATCCTGTGGCTGCGGCGAGTGGAGGGCACCGGTTTTCTGCATTCAGAATAAGAAAGTGGAGTGGAGAAAGATCGGCTCCAGAGAGGTCCCGCAACCTCAATTCTCGCCTGACGACGATTAATTGACTAGCAGTGGCCTGGAAATCTGGTCCTGTGGGGCCTGAAGTTTCCGAACATGGGCTAGTGTACAGTGTGCAGGCCTGCAGCTCATGTTTAGACACGGTCGAGATTAAATCGATCCGCTTCTTGTACAGGTTCGCGTCGTGAGAAGACTGATATACCAGCGGCGCCGTTAGAATGGGATCGGGTGATCTGACTTGCCTTTAGCAAGGTCTCTGGGGTTTGCTAAGGAGTTCACGCTCTTTTATGCTTAGCCGTCAAGCGCAACGCCCCAAGCTAGGCTCGAAACCACCAATAATGATCATTCTCATTATTCTTATTAGGATTAGCATTCATATTATTATTATTATTATTAATATTATTGTTATTATTTTTATTATTATTGCTTATTAATACGAATAATATATATATATATATCCATATATATATATATATCCATATATATATATATGTATGTATGTATGTACATATATATATAATATGATATGCCTACGAAATCAGCAGACAGCCCTGCCAAAGGAGCCAAAGTCACTCCATTTAGATCGGGGCTTTCTCTAGCATGAGTTGCCTGCTCTTCGGGTTGAAGCTCATGTAGAGGGCATTGGCAACCTATGAAGCACGAGGAGATGCAGGAAGTGAGCTTGCCTCCAGCCTCTTGGCAAGAGCTTCAGACCTGGGTTTGATGAACCCACTTTGACTGCGTCAGGGATCAATGGGCACGGCAATCGTCGACAGTACAGTCGCAGACCCATCATCACAGACTGGGAGTTCGGCCACCCGGTAGCTTCCCCTAATCGACGGAGCTGGGATATCAGCGATCTCAGGGCTGCAGTAGCTAACACGGATTACTTGTCGGCTTCGGGGCTTGGGGAGGAGAAGGGGCTGCTTGGTTCTTTCAGCTGCGGTATGACAAGGTTCTCGTTCCTGTCGAGGCTTCACTGTGTAAATTTGTTAATGTACGTGTTCGTGCGCCAGACTCATGTCTGCCGTCCTATATCTTTTTCACCTGTCTGTTCGACCTCAGACAGTCAGATAAGCAAAACACTGTAGATCACCGGAGTCGATTCGACCTCGAAGGTTGGGCCCAACAACTCGCAATCCCCTGAGCCGGGATCCTTTGCACCCTGCAAACAGAAATCCTGTACTGCCCCATCCGCGTAGCCCTCATAACCCTTGTCGGTGTAGGGAGCACTTTAGCCCAGCTCCCGCATAGCAAGCCTGCACCAAATCCTGGCAGAAAGTCTGTTATTTCCCACCGAGGGCGAGATCGCTTTCCGCGCGGAGCCTTCGCTTGCAGAGGGTGTGGGATGCAGGTCTCTGGTGAAAGCCTTTTCCGGAGTGGATAGACTTGAGGTTCGGGTTCGCAGAGTGCTGTCGTGTCGGGCATTCTGATCTGAGGCGTTCTGAGCATGCTTTTCTGTCTTCGAAATGAAGGGCCGTTTCGCTTCTGTCGGCCTCGTCTGTTGGGTATGCGTTAATTATAGGTCTTGCCACGGGGATACGTTTAGTTGACGCTTTTTGGTTCATCTCCAGGATTTTTCACCAAGAAAGTAGAGTGCCGCAGCCCAGAGTAGCCATCTCCGATGTTTGCGAAGCCCACAGCTGATCACAACTTCTGATTGTCATTCCCAGTCACCAGTAGGCAGTCCCTGAACTGAATGTTACAGGGTAGTCTTCAAGCACACATGTCCAGGTTGGCGGTGTGTCTTGCCGGCACATGTCATCCTGCATCCCAAACCCGAGGCCCCAGACTTAGAACACTGAAAGGCATAGAACCCTCGTTCCGAAGGTGATCAGTGCCTGCCCCGGTTCGCAGTGGCCAGTGGCAGTCAACATGCTGGTGTCCAGACTGCATTCGCGAGCACACACCGAGCGCTTTACATGCCAGGAGCTTGCCAGAAGGAGTGAGAGTTCAGATCGGTACCGTTTCTGTCTTGCAACATGCTAGTATTGGTTTAGTCGACTCTGGAGCTGTGCCCATGGTGTCTTACAACATGCTAGTATTGGTTTAGTCGACTCTGGAGCTGTGCCCATCGTGTCGAGGCCTGACGCACCTTGTTACCAAATACCAGCGCACATAGGATTGCAAGTCACGACATTCGTCACCATGCCAAGCGCTATTCTGTACAGCGACGAAGATCCAGAAGAAGGGGCTGGATGTTATAAAGATTCTGACCGGCACGGGATGTTGTGTTTGCAGCTGGATGCTAGCAGCCACCCTCGGGGTTTCATGGACAGTGATGCAGGCCGTCCTTGCTATTCACAGAATCAGCGCAACAGCCCAGTTGTTTCACTTGCATGTCAGGGCTACATGGAGAGTGCCAACGTTATTCCGCACGAGATCAGTTGCTCGGTTTTGAAATCCGTGCTGTGCTCGTGCACACAAGAGCGATTGCCACATTCAGGAGAAGCCGGTGCCAAATTTGCTGGACTGATTCTTTGAATTCTTATAGGTCGTTTAGGCTCACAACATGGTTGAGAGTCAAGCTCTCAGATGACCCGGGAAGCTGCAGAACTATCCTAAAGAATCCCTCCCAAGCCTGGACGAGGCTTCAATGCGGCCCTCGCGGCCGCGGCACGAGGTGCAGCTCCAGCGCCGGTGGCAGCGGCACTCCTCCGGCGAATGCGGGCCGCCGAGGCTCGCCACGAGTCCTGCCATCAGCTTATAAAGATGGAATTCCTTCAGGTGTGCATGGATGTAAGTCAAGTATACTCTCGTCCATGACAGTAGGTTACATCACACTGCATTAGACTATGCTCATTGTCTCGACATGTCGTGTTTCCGTCGCCCTGCTTCAACCCGCCTTTACCTTCACCCTTTAACTTACTCCACCTCACCTTCCTTTGCCGTGTAAACTGCCACTGCAAGACATTGCCAAAGTACAACACATACCAACATAAAGACGTGCTCAAGACAGCACCACAAGCAGCTATCTTGTAGCTGCCGCATATCATTACAAGGGCACCAGCATGCAGCCTGCAAGTGTATTCCCCCATCGCCTGAGAATGATGAGCGAAGACCAGTAGACAGCAGCAAAATCACTCGTCCATAGAGCTGCATGGTTGCAGACACATGTCTTCGACAGTGTAGCAAGAGGGAACTCCGGCATGAGGCGCCCATGACAAAGAAAGCACTGGGTCAGAGGGTCCTAGCTTCGAGTTTGCGGGGGTTTTGCTTCAGACGGCTGTTCTCCTGTCTGTTTTCAATCGATTCATCTCTCTGAATCGTGCCAGGACCTCCAGCTTTCTGTAATACGCCTGCAGTTTTCATCCACAATATTCAGACCTTGCTCATCTCAACATTCCCAAATCTTATGCACCTCAAAATCCCGCGTCTGAAAGGTTCTGCCGGATGCTGGCAGCTACAAAGCAGCAGCTGCCATTTTCGAAATGAGCCACAGACTCAGATGGCTCATGACTCTTTTTGAGAATCTACACATGGCCACAAGGTTCAAGGTTGGCCGTGCACGGTTGTGCCACGTCAAGTCTTTAGAGGATTCAGTGTCAGAGGTTTGTGAGTCGTGCTATACGTGCGACGTTGTTTTTTTTTTTTCAGGTGTTCGGGTTGGAACGGGCACGCTAGCTGATTGCATTCTGCCGCCTATGTGGCGGGCAGGGTCTGATTTGGTGGTCCCGACATCCGGGGCAGAGCCTCACAGGTCAGGGCCCGCACGGTAGGAAGTCTGTCCGAGAATCCCCGAAAACAGACGCTTCAAGACCCTGTGAGCACCCATGCCTCGAAATGCCTCTGAACCGTACACTGTGCCAGAGGTAACTCACAAAGCCTGAGGCCTAAGCTCTTCGAGAGTCGGGCGATCCGAGTTGCGAGAGTTTCGGTGCAAGTTGCACTGCAGCGTATTCTTAGAGAACAACACAGAGAGGAAGGTACACCAGAAAGCTGTAGGCTGCAGCCTAAACCCGAAGAAGCTCCAAATCCTGCACCCCTCAGCAAGGAGACATGGCGCAGCCAGCGCTGCGCGTCTATCAAGAAATGAGCGGCCGCTCGGCACATGCCCTGTCTAAGGGAGCAGACAATGGACCCACAAGTGTCATACTGCACGTGTATATATATATATAAGTATAAAAGGGAGAGAGAGAGAGAGAGAGAGAGAGAGAGAGAGAGAGTACGCCTTTTCATGCCCTAGGAGATGCACTGCCTTCCTTGTTTTCTTTATGTAGGGCTCGGCTTCAGGTTGCGTCGGCTCGCTGCTGTCTGCCGTCTTTGCCGACGCTGCCTAGGAGGAGAAAAGGAGACCTCTTGCGTGGTTTCGTTTGGGGGGCTTTACAGGCGCCGAGATCATCGACCATACCAAGCCCCGAAGATCTCAGAAAAACGGGGTTTAGGGTTTAGGGCTTGTACGGTTTAGGGTTTAGGGTAAAACATCTGAAAGGGAGGATTCCCCGAATCCACAAAAAAAACGCGAAGCCTGGTTTTGCTCCCTATACCTTAGGGCGCCCAGGCCCCGACGGTCGGGCCGCTGCCCGGGGCGATGCCAAGTAGTCCGAGCAGCGGAGAGGAGGACGGTTGAGGGCTCATGGCTTTTGGGATTTCGGGATCAGGGCCCAACAGGCCGACGCTTTCCCCAACAATCTGCACTTTTTTGAGAAACGCCCATGGGCGGGAAGCACTTGCAACACTAATATAGGCAAGCCTATATTAAACTACCATCCAGCTCTGCCCGGTGTCCTCACTCTTGATTTCCTTCTCGTCGACATTCGTCGACAATGAACAGTGGGCTTGCCAAACCTGCAATCCCCTTAAACACATGGAGTCAAGAATTAAAAAGAGCCTTGCAAGCTGTGGAGATCAGGAGTGCATGATGGATGGCATCCTCGAGGTGGCTGCCCAACAGTTTCCATCCCGACCTGCTTTGCCTTAGATGCAGGTCTGAGGCCCTTGGGTGTTTACGTCATTCAGGGCTTCGCTTAGGCCTAGCAGCAGCCACGGCCCATCTAAGAGTCAGAGTGTGTTTTACACTGCCTGTTGCATTGTGAGGGGGTT